AGGGTACGAGGCCATAAAAAAAGGTGATGTCTGAATGGAGAACCTAGAAGGTGAGGACAAGGGATGCATGCAGTTCTCTGCTGTCCTGGACCTCATCTGCACATCTATGGGATGGACCTCCAAGTTTGAAGGGACTGAAAGCAATGAGTCCTTGAGGGGACTTGAGTCAGGCCAGGCTGGGCCCTACAGTTATGACCCCACAAAGTCACTCTCCCTAGCTCTGCTTTGGTTCTTCCCACCCGAACCCAGTTCCTGCATTGTCCATTGTCCTAACTTATGGGATGTTATGAGTTGAAGTGTGTCCCTCAAAGATAGGTTAATAGGTTCCCCTGGAATCTGTGTAGCTTTATTTGGAAGAAGAGTCTTTGTAGATGTAATTGATTAAAATAAGGTCCTTATACATCAGAGTGGTCCTCTGCTAAGGCTGGCAGCTTTCGAGAAGAGGAAGAGAAGGCTTCGTGGAGATGGGTAAGGAGGACTTGAAGGGAGACATGCACCAGAACCTGCAGGGAGCACCCTGTAGGGAGTGAGGCTCTGCCATACCTCCATTAAGGCTATTGGCCCATCCATAATCCGAGTGCTTGGGATGGAGTCAAGAGGATCAATAGTTGACTCTCATCCTTGATTTTATTGGGAAATGGAGACCAGCCCCAGATATAAGGAACCCCGTCTCAGTGAAGGAATGAGTGAATGAATGAATAATGTTGTAGTCTCCAGAATTGAGAAGTCATACATTTCCATGGTTTTAGGCCACCACGGTCCTGGTAATATGCTGTCCTGGAAACAGACACAAGGTGATGTATTTTCATGCTGACACTGGTGGCTCTTGAATGTCACAGCTTTGTCCAAGGCCGGCAGGAGTGTGGGGTCAATGGAAGGGAACGGGACCTGCCAGGTACCCAGGTGAAACAGCATAATGAGATGTCTTAGTGTCTATAAATCACCCAGCAGGGCAGCATGCTCCAAGACCTGGGTTTCCAAAGACAAGAGCACTTGGGTCCTGGGTGCCATGGCTTTCTGAAGACACAGAGACACTAAGGGGCAGACTTTGTGTGTCTTTGGCTGCTGTGTTGGTCTGACCATCCTCACCCAAGGAAATGAGATAGCCAGGCAGGACTGGTTTGGGCACAAACCTCCCGAGGTGGCTTTAAAGGTGGGCACTAAACCAGAGAAGGTAGGGCCAGGCCTACCCTCTAGGCCTCTATCTCTACCTCTCCTCTGTGAGAAAGTCAGTTTAGGCAGGGGAAACAAGTTTGTGCTTACTGGTTACACACACACACACACACACACACACACACACACACACGGTTGCTCACACTCATAAATCCAGCACTCAGGAAGCAGAGGCAGAGGGATTCAGTCTGAGTTCTCCCCAGAAGCCTCCACAAGCCTATTCAGGAGTTTGGGAGCTAACTGGCTCTCAAGCTTAGAAGCAAGTCCTGGGACACAGGCCCTCAGCATGGGGTCTAGCAAGCTGATGGTGGTCCTGCTTTGTGCTCCAGGCTCCCCATTGTGAAATGGATCTGCTTTTGACACCGAGGGGTAAGTGGGATAACTGTACTCTGTGTACTTGCTGTCCTGATACATCTGTGGTCAGTATTTTCAGTGGACAGCTGAGATGGGGACCTACAGTGTTCCCCTTCTCTGCACCTGTGTTCAGACTATGTCCAGGAACGGGCCAGGCTGGCCAGCGTGAGGACCAGGACGAGTACAGAGCCTGTTTTCCAGAGTCATTGCTCAGTCAGGGTATGTGGGAAGGGCCTTGGGACAAAGTCTGTCACAGTGACACTGTGTCCATCCCTTCCTTGCTAGGGTATTGAGGCCAGTCTGGGGCCTGCCATAATGGCTGCCTCAGGACCATGAGCCCCCTTCTCACCTGGCTAAGTGACACCCCCCCTCTCCAGTTGAGGACATTTACCCACCCGTCCATTGCCCACTTCCTCAATCCAACCAGCTGTAGCTGTAGCTGTGGTTGGTGGCTCCTTAGGGAAACGGCCGCCCAGTGCTCTCCCACAAGCTGAGCTGTGCCTGCTGCCAGAGTCCTAGGGCCAACAGGTGTTTCCGCACACCCAGGCGCTTGGGAGGACTCGGGGCCTTACCATGGGGTCAGAGGTGCTGGGGGCCCCACAGCCAGACTGCAGGTTTTGTTTGCTCTTAGAAGAAGAAAGCTTCCTCTGGGGCGTGGGGAGAGCCTGCCCTGGGGTGACTCTCTACCACCTGTCCCTGCTTAGCTGAGACCCTGAACGTTTAGACAGCAGCAGTTAAGAGACAAGAGCAGAGGAAAGGTCTCAGGGTACTGTGACAGTCAAGGCAGGAGGTGAGCAGAGTATGGACACAGGGAAACCCAGTTGGATTGCTTGGATTGAGGCAGGGAGACAGGCAATGAAACCTCATCCAGATGTGGACAGTGACCAGCTATGAATGAGTGTGACCTGGGGTTCACCATACTGGGTATAAGAATCAGGATCTATAGCATCATCTTATCCTAAAAACAGTGAGTACCAGGATGCCCTGCTTCTGCAACTGCCTAGGGTACACAGCAAGTCAGCCCTGAGGAGTCCTTTGGGTCCCTAACCTCCATCCCTTTGTCCTTTTCTTTGTTCATCTCAGGAAGGAGGTCACAGTTTTCAGGAGTGTCTTGTTTCTTTGGCTGTAGTAAGGAAGACTTTTCCCAGGATGCCAGGCTCAGTTAGGAAGGGCAAACCTGAGTGGAAAAGGGAGTGTTGGAGACTGTCCCCCACCTCACTGACAGGAGAAGCCTGGGTCCCAGGCCTGTTCTCCCAGGAGCCAGACTTTGTGGACACTCACTAAGTGCCCCTGGAAACAGTACATACTTTCTTTCTCCTGCACTCTCCCATGGGTGGGCCAAAGATATAAATCAAAATGTGTGTGTTTGCCAGACATGGTGGAGCCCATATTTAGTCCCAGCACTTGGAGGCAGAAGCAGATGGATCTCTGACTTAGAGGTCAGCCTGGTCTACAGAGTGAGTTTCCGGACAGCCAGGGCTATACAGAGAAACTCTGTCTTGAAAAACAAAACAAAACAAACAAACAAACAAAAAAAGACAATGTGTTTAAAAGTATAGGCTGGGGCTGGGCCTCAATGGATAGAGGGTAGAGTGCTTGCCTAGGAAGCCCGAAGGTCTCCATCCCTCGCACTGCATAAACGATAAACTGACTGTGGTAGCACACACCTGTACTTCCAGCTCTTGGGAAGTGGAGGCAAGAGGATTCCAAAATCAAGGTCATCCTTAGCTACATAGTCAGTTCAAAATCAGCCTGAGATATATGAGACCCTGTCTAAAAGTAAAAATTAAAAAAAAAAGTTTAGATTGTTTCAGCCATGTTATCTGACCACGTCTGCTTGGGAAAACATTGCCTGACTTTGAGCTGAACATCTGGTGATTAAGAGTAAGGCAGGCACTTCACAGTTTGTCCTTCCTAGTTCGCTGGACCCTTTTCCTGATAGACTCTGAATCCTGACCTCTGGGTGGCCTCCCCCCCACACCTGCTCACCTGCAGTTCGCTATTGAGTGGTCTTGGGATAGTAGACAACCCCCTACCCCTCCTATCCTCTACTTCCCTAACATCTGCAACCGAGCTGACAGTTGGAGGTGTGTGTCAGTTTGGGGAACTCACAGTCCCCTGACTTGGCCCTGCTCAAGGTCCTGGCTCTGAGCATCAGCCCGGGAGTCACACTGCTTAGAGGCCTGCATAGGTAGCTAGAAAGGTAGGCTTGGGTGGATAGTGCCCACAGCAGACTGCTCCTTTGCTCCCTCAAGCTTGGGGAAGGCTTCCTATGAGAGGGCCAGCCAAGCTGGGCTGGGTTGCTGAAGAGGACTGAGCCACTAAGCCAGGGTCCAGGGTAGAGTCAGATGTGAGATGAGCCTACCTCTGCCAGCCCCACTGCCCGACAGCCCTGTGACCTGGGAGTGAGATGACAATGGACTCTGACAACCAGCCCCGACCATCCAGATCCAGACTGGCCTCTGAGACACAGTAAACAGGAAAACCCATAGAGGCCGGAGGTCCTGAGAGAAAGGAAGGAGCAGGCCAGAGGCATCACAGAGCTTGTGAAGTCCACAGGAAACAGTGACTTCCCTGTGCTGTGTCCACCACCTGGCTGTGTCAGCCATCAGGCCAGCACAACAGCTCTGCCCATGTGTAGTCTCAGAAGCCCACAGCCTGGGTTGCACAGCAGAGTCGGCTCAACATCACAGACAAAGCCAGGGTTTCTGGCTAGCTCCCTGAAGCTCTGGGGCCTGACCTCTCAGTACACGCCTCCACTCCAAGTAGTTTCAGCTACAGGATTCCTTCAGCATATGCTAGGACTCTGGTCAAGCCTGCTCTAGACCCCCCCCCCCCACTAAAGCTGTGTGGGGAAACTGAGGCCCTGTAGTGGAAGGCAGCCAAGGTCACCCTGAGGTTGCTGGTAGATGTCTGTCTGTCTCTGGTTGGAGCTTGCTATGGATGAAAAAGCTCCAGGAGGGCCAGGGTTGGGGCCCAGGGGTAAAGCATTCGCCTAGTATGACCAAGGCCCTGAGTTACATCTCCAGCAGCACCACTAAACAAACAAAAAGCCCTGGGATATTTTAAGCAGATCCTGAAGACCCAAATCGTCCACCAAAAATATGAGCTTGTCATGTGGGTCTGATAGCGTGAGAACTCCCTAGAATTGTGCAAGCTGAGCAGTATAAGGCCCAAGGAGACTGTCAATCCCAAGCAGTTGAGTCCCTGCCGCAGTAAGGGCCTGGCAGTTTTCTCTTTTCACCCAGCTGGTTCCCAGATTCACTCCAGCAATCGTGGGTAGTGAGAGGCATTAGAGGCCCAGGCACCATGACCTGTGGGTTCTACTTCTGGGAGTTCCTCCTGAGGAAGCATCGTGGGAGCCAGAAAGCTGGCCACTGCAGGGACCCCTGGAGGTGTTATTTATAACCCCAGACCTGGAAAGGGACCAAATGTGTGGAGCGGGGCGGCGCCATCTAACTAAGCAGTGGGCTGCTGACAGTAACCAGTGACGCCTGCGGAACCACGGAAAGTCCGACGGCGTGGGAAATGCTCACAGTGATGGACTTGGATGGGAAGAGGCAGGACGGAGGCAGGCAGAAAGCTGAGCTGTGTGTGTAGCTCCAGCCAAGGAGAGCAATGGAGTCTGCATTCCAGCTTGTGCCTGAACGCACAGGAGGGAGGCCACCACCCACCAGCTATTCGGGTGGGAAGCTGCAGCGTTCTGCTCTGGCTGGATTCCGGGTCTGTCTCTGGGTCACTGAGTGGGCTGGGGTGAGTGGGCGGCAGGGCAGAGGGCAGGGTCGTACCACCTGGACCAGCCAATCCCCATCCCTTGGGTAGAGACATCCCTAGCTAGGACTTGCCCCGGCTTCTGGGGGGATGCAGAGCCAGATGTGTTTCAGAGGGGAGGAGGCAGCTGGGGTGGGGGTGGGGGACATCCTGAACCGCTCCCACCATACCCTCCAGTCCTCCAGCCCTCATTGTCTGTGTCTACTGGCCCCCTGCATATTAGATGAGAAATGTGGCATCCAAATGTCTAGGCACAAGCCTGAGAGTCAGTTCCTGAGAATAGAGGCAGGTACAGATTCCAAAGGTGGGTTGGGGGCTGCCAGGGGTGTGACGATATCCCCACAACCACGGCAGTTAGGAATGGGGAGGGGAGAGCCAAGACCCTGAACACCTGAAGACCAGCTGGCTGAAGGGACTGCCGACCCAGCCTGGGGACCACACTCAGGGACCACTGCCTTGGCCAGATGCAGCAGGGCCTGGCAGAGCTGGATGACTGTCTTGAGCAGCTCCAAGATAGCTCACCCATCTCCATCATCTCCTTTCTCCTAGCCAAGGTGGGCAGAGGATGGATCCTTCATCTCAAACAGCCAGTCCCAGAGGTAGGTTCAGTGCCCACTCTGGCCCCACATTATAGGCCTGAGTTGGGTTGGTGCTGTCATGGCCAGGGTATTTTCGTGGCTAATGGTGATTAACCCTAGCTTCCGTTCACTGGTGGTCCTTAGGCCCTGGACTGAGGAGAGGAGCCACTTACTTTTCCTGATATATTATTATCACCCTGTGAGGCTTGTTTTCAGAATGGAATGGGGGAAATGAAGCCAGGCATAGTGTCACATAGGAGGCAGAAGCAGGGGAATCTCTGTGAGTTTGAGGCCAGCAGGTCTATATAGTCAGTTCCAGGGCAGCCAGAGTTACGTAGTGAGACCCTGTCTTGAAAAAATACAAAAGAGTGGTGAAACAGAGTCACCGCAGAGACAAAGACAGAGACAAACCAGCAGCTACTTTGGCTCAGCTCAGAGCAGCTGTTCTCAACCTGTAGGTCATGACCCATTTGGGGGTCGAATGACCCTTTCACAGAGGTAGCCTAAGACCATCAGAATACACATATATTCACGTTATGATTCCTAACAGCAAAATTACAGTTTTGCAGTAGCAAAGAAAATAATTTTATGGTTGGAGGTCATAGGAACGTGAGGAACTATATTAAAGGGTCCGTTAGGAAGGTTGAGAGCCACTGGCTCAGAGGTTCTGAGGATGCTCCGGCGTTTCTGTAACTTTGACATCCCCAGAGACATCCTGGGGAGACAGCCTGAGCCTCCCCCAGGCCCTGTGAGGTACACAAGGTGAGGAGCCTACAGGTGTCCTGTGGGGCCCCAGACCACCCTAGATCTGCCATCCTGGCCTTTGTCTATTCTGAAGAGCTGGGAATGGACACTCCTCTTGAGATCCCCAGTATCCCGGAGGCCAGCCGAGCTTCCCTGGTTTGGGAGGGGATGGGCAGGGGAGATTGGGGTCATCTGGGGAGCAGCCGTACCAGGCTTCAGTGCATTCCAGCTTTCAGGGATGGTCTAAAGCAAAGGAAGATGACCAGGTTTCTGGGAAAACCTGCTGTAGCCCGGTGGTGTCCAGCCACCAGCAGGGGTGACGTGTTATTCTCAACATTAATGACCTCTGTTCTCCAGGAGCAATTACTAGGCTAAGAGGGGGTAGTTATCTCCTCTCCTTGCTGGGTAAGCCTCCCTCAGGCTGCTGGGCTGCCCAGGTGGTGCTGTGGGGAGGACGCCTACGTTTCTTTCCTGAGAGAAAGTCTCCATGCTCCTACTCAGAGTCATACCAGACATCCTGCTGGATGCCCAGTCCCTACCTGGAGGGTCAGAGGAGCCTCTCCAACATCCTCTGCAGGGGAATGACTCTCAGTGACTTCAGTAAAGTCTGTTCCCTCCTGGCCCGGGTCTTCTCACTGGAGAATTGGAGTGGTACTTGCTTCTTTGCCCAGCTGTGCAAGGCCAGCAGGGCAACCAGGGCACCAGGGCAGAGGAGACCGTTCCAGGTCACATACACACAGGGACAGAGGAATGCAAAGGACTGGAGAAGGAACAAGGAAGGAGACCACGCTCTGGGGCAGGATCCAACGAATTGGTCTGGAGTACTAGGCTAGACTCAGTAAGAGAAGCCAGTGCCAGGGCCATGTGCTGTATGAACTTCAAGTGATATGTCCAGGGTGGAAAAACAATCTGTTGAGATAGATAATCTTTGCGGAGGAGATAAGAGAATGTGGTCTCTTGGGTGGTGACAATATGCTGTATTCGATGAGTATCTGGCCTGGTGACCATGCTGGATGTTCAATGTGGGGCAAAGGCAGTTTCTGTGCTACAGAAATTTCACTTACCATGGCTGGTGCTGAGGCTCCTAGCTCATGTATCAGGAAGGAAGCCTTAGGGAGCAGGTGAGTCAACCTCTCAGGTGAAGTATCCTATGTGAGTATCCACCTGCAGAGCACCTGTACAGATGAGGAATCCTGACTCAGTTTCTCCTTCTGAAGCACAAGTTTGTGGTGCAGGGAAGGGTTGGGTCCTGTTCTGGATATCGAAGGCCTGTGTTCCCCAGGGTATCTTCAGAGGCAGGGACAGCAGGACTAGACCTGGGGCATAGGCCCTGAATGGGTTACAGCGGGTCTGAGAGATAGGGGCATGGGTCTGGTGGATCCATGCCAAGTCTGCCCTGGGTAACACAGTTTCTGCCTCTTCCTGTCCCTGTGTCCCCTTACTCCAGTGCCAGGCCCCCTTTCCTCTCACTGTCTCCTGGTGGGTCCAGAGAGCTGAAGCCAGGGCCAGCCAGGAGAGGAAGAGGGGATGCCTAGCAGGCCTGAATCAGAGCCCCAGCTGAGCTGAGACACTGCTAACACAGAGGTGCCTCCCACCATCACCCATTCCCTATGGCCCCTTAACAGCATACATGGAAGGCCATCAGTGCCACGGTCTGTGGCTCTCAGGAGCCCAGGGCCAACCCTAGGGAGGTAGCCCCTGGGACATGCACACTGCTGGCTTTGGAGAGTGGAAGCTCTCTTTCTCTCTAGGTTACTGCCTCTGGTGAGTTTCAGCCTGTGGGGGTAGAAGGCCTAGAGTGGCCCTTGAGAGCTCTGAGTGAGTGCAGCCCAGACCCTACTAAAGGAGGATCCCTGGGCCCCAGAGTACGGGAGGAAGTGTGTGGCCATGTTGGATCCCTAGTCATGGTCATTCCTGCCAGTCATGTCAGCCTAGGCCCCTGCCACCAATGCTACTCTGCACATCTCTGTGGCCTGTGGTGGCAGGCATCCCTACACTGGCCATCAGCTTCCACCTCCATGGCCCAGAGGCACCCAAGACTGCTCGGACCTCTGATGACGACCATGCGCGCCTGGTGGTAGGTGCCACTCTCTTCCAGCTCTTGCTCTGTCCTCTTCAACACGACATTTGGCCTCTGCGACCCCTAAGCTCACCCTGCTTATCCCTGTTTCTCAGGCTCTGCCCTTGGAAAGTCCCTACTATTTCATGCCTTGGTTTTCCTCACTCGCAGACAGCAGGGCCTGCTGTCCCAGCCCTGAGGATCTCACCTATGGCCTGCCCTTGGCTATATGCCCACCCAGCTTTCTCCCTATAGCCAGGCTCAGAGTTCACACCTCAGCCTTGACACATGGACAGCCACTCAGCCCATCTTACAGATGGGGAAACAGTCTGAGAGCAAGGGCCAACTGTTCAGACATCACACTAGGAACATACGGCTGGCTAGGGACTAGAACAGGAACTTTTATCTGCCGTGCATGTAGAGCGGTCACGTTCTCTTGAGACAGGCAAGAGTGACCCCCTCTGTCCAGCTCCCCGGGGAGCCAGCCAGGCCAGCATCACCCTACACGGAGAGGAGAGCTGCCCTGCCACAGGCATCCAGCCAAGCACTGGTCCAGGCTGGCTTCTGTTGGCCGTCTGTGAGAATTTGGACACCAGACTGGCGGAGGCAGAGCCTGGCACTGTTTACCCCAGCCTCTATGCCTTCTACAGAACACCTGTTCCCAGGCCAGAGCAAAGCCGTGGAGAGGGTCAGGCACACGGAGCCTGAACTCCTTACTGCCCCCATGGCCTCGTCTCTCCCCTTCTTCACCCTTAGCACCCGCCTATGACCTGCTTGTCCCCTATCCTATGGTCACCCCCTTCAGGTTCCCGACTCATGAATGCTGCCCACCCAGGCCCTTCTTGTTTCCCCATGCCCTCGGCTGCAAGCCTGGGGTCAGTGTCTAGCAGTCTGGCTGCTCTCCCCCGGGAACTGGCTCTGGGCCTCTCTGCTGGCTATTTCAGGGCCTCTGGATCCTCTGATCCAGGAGCATAGCAATGCACCCCCATAGCCAGTGTTACACATAAAGACAGAAACTGAAATTCCACACTCAGACTGCACCCTGAAGTGGGGATCAGTAGAGTCAACCTTAGGGTACAACAGGTGGGTGAGAGGCCTCAGTGTGCAGCCAGTCTTACAAGATCCCAGTTAACAAAGAGCCAGCGTACTGGGGTGAAGCAAGGTTGTGCCCTTGGGGTCACTGGGCCTTGTCGCCTGCAGTCACTTAGGTTCTGGGGTCTTGGCACCTGGTGCCTCCCTACCATCCTGTGGGACCAAGTGAGGGAAAGAGCAGTCTCCAGAGCTTTAGCCCATCCATAGCGGGCTGCAGGACCTTCAGCTGGCCCACTAGAGGAAGATGACAAGGCAGACCCCACAGCCCACAGGACCGCGGCCAGATACACAAGAGCACTGTCTGCTCATCCCCAGTGAGAATGTTCTCCTTCCTCCATCCTCATCTCCTCCATCCCCTTACACCTTGGGCTGGAACTAGACACCCTCTCAGGAGGGGTCTTCTTTCCATTTTACAGCTGCAATCATCACTAAGTCAACAGGGAGGCCAGACTGCTGCTAGGAGATGCGCAGGGTAGAACCTGAACCACTGTGCTCAGCAGGCCTCAGTCACTCCTACTTGGTGTGTGAACTTCTCCCTCTTCTCTCCTGGCAGGCGTGAGTGATGAGGAGACTCAGAAGTTGGGAGGGCTATACACTGCTGGGCTGGCCATTGCTAGGGTGGCCCCGGAATGGGGGTCCAGGCAGTTCCATCAGCTCTGGCAGCATTCACGGGATGCTTGTGTTCCATTCAGTGAGACGCTAAATACGCAGGCACTCAGGCCACACAATGAAGGCTCTACAGACTCTGTTTCAGCCCGCACCATAGTGGTGAAGTGGGAGCTGGGAGCTCAGACCAGGGAACTCTGCCCAGTGGAAGGGGTGGGCCCACCAGCTACCGGCCTTGGCTTTTCGTTCCTTTCTCTGCATCTGGCCCAGCACAGCAGGCCACACAATGTTTGTCACCACTCACCTGTTAACTTGTCCTTGCATCTGCCGAGCCCGAGTTTGAGAAGACAAGGCTCCCTTGGTCAGCACTGAACTCTGCCTACCCAGCACAGGGGTGCTGGTGATAAGGAATAAGAACTTCGTCCTTCCCACCTCTGACTTGGTACCCAGAGCTCTGACCCAGACTGAAGGCCAAAGGGATGTAGCCACCTCCTTCCCTGCTCCTGCACGGGTTTGAAAA